CTCCCCCCTCCGGTTAATGAAGGGCTCCTGAAAGGGGAGGTCCCACTGAGAGGGCCCCCCTGAAGTTACCAGCTTCTTTATAGGGCTTGGGAAAAGCCCAAAGGCATTGAGGTTTCCCCTCAGGATTGAGTTTATCTTTGGGGTTTACCTGTTTCAGATCAGATACTAACCTGTGACTTACCTGTCTCTGGAGCACTGGTATAAGGTTTTATGTCATTTACCCAGAGGGTATTGTTTATGTTACTGGTTTAGATATCTTATACATATATATATGCATTGCACATCTGTTTATATCCCTGTTCCTTTCCCTTGTGATAAGTCAATGTACATAAAGGTGTATATAGTTAAGTCCCCTGACTGTCCTGGCCTGGTTCTTTAGGGACAGAGGGAAACCGAGCAGTCTGCAGTTCCCACCCCACAGCACACCTGCCAGCCTACAATCCCCTTCAGTTGGAGAAGAGGAGTATATACCCAAGTTACCTGGGCTACAGCAGCTTTTGCTGAAGTTCAATAAGCATGTTTAAACCATTTCTGCTATGCAACTGAGCAGTCTTTTTCTCATTTAAACTAATTTTCTCATTTCAGTCTAATTTTGATTTTCAGACACTTTCATTATTTCTAATTCAAATGTATTTCATACCCATTTGTTACCTTTTGAGCAAGAAAAATTGTAACAACAGAGGTTTGCTGTGGAAACAGCTTTCATTTGTCACCGGGCTATGAATAGCTCCTTTCTGTTATTCTGATATACTTATATGATGCATTGACTTCTACAAAGTACTTCACATGGAGAGGGTGAGAAGGATCCAACATTACATAGGTATCGGTAAATTGTTATTCTGAAAACCGTATGACAAGTATAACATCGTTTGCAGGTAAAGCAGGGTGAGTTCTGAGCAAATTAATGTGCTTCTGTCAGCTTATGGAAAAGAAACCCACTCATTGCATTTGAAAATGAAAAATGATGCTAAGAGGCAATTCACTGTATTACTTGCATTTCTCACAAATCAATAGGGCTGTGCGAGGCTTCAGATGGAGCTTTGGATCCAGAGACCTTCGGACACTCCAGGGTCGGAGTAGCACGTCCGGGTCGAAGCGCTGCCTTGTTCGGCTTCCCGAAGCGCTTCGGAGCTGCCTCGGAGATCCGGCCATAGGGTATAATGGGGAAACAATAAAATATCTATAACTTTATTGTTTTTGACCAATTTGGATGACATTTTCGGAAGTGGTAGACTCTGTAGAGAGGATGAATCCTGACAAGTTTCAAGAAGATTGGTGCAGGGGTTTGGGGGCAACTGTACCCCAAATTCTTGAAAGCAAAACTCCTGTCGCATCTACGTGTTACAACCCAGGGGGGTCAAAGCTGCAGGGGTGGTAGCTCTTATTGAGGCCACAAAGCCTGCCAAGCTTCAAGAAGATTGGTGTAGGGGTTTGGGGGGAACTGCCCCTCAAGCTGGGGACAAGCAAAACTGGTGCCATGGGTGCTTCCGGGACCGTCTTGGGGCAGGGAGGGGAGACACTACTGCAGGCCTGGCTGTTAAGCTGCTGTTACCAGTTACCAGTCAATCAATCTTGATTCACTGGGTACCAGGGACCAGCTCAATACACAGGACCCAGCTACTACATAATGACTTAACAAGCATCATTTAGCACCTACAAAACCAGGCTAAGGAGAGGAAAGAATCAATGCAGACAATCAACTGCCCCAAGACAGAGAGTCTTGGCACAAGTTTTGCCTGTCAGCAGCTAGGGGTGCAGGGCCCCAGAACTCCCCTGCACTGATCTCCTCCACACCTGGCAGGCTTCACAGCAGGGGCCACCATCCCTGCAGCTGTCACCCCGCATTGCCTGAACACGCGCAGTGTCACCCATGGCACAAGTTTTGCTTGTCTGCAGCTGGAGGGGCAGTTGCCCCCAAACCCCTGCACCAATCTCTTTGAAATTTGGCAGGCTTTGTGGCCTCAGCAAGAGCTACCAGCTCTGCAGTTTTGACCCCCTTGTGTTGTAACACACAGCCGTGACAGGAGTTTGGCTTTCATGCTCTCAGCAGACTCTATCATCCCTGCAAGTTTCATCCAAATTGGACAAAAAAACCCAAAGTTATACATATTTCATTGATTCCCCATTATACCCTATGGCTGGATCTCTGAGGTGGCTCTGAAGTTTTGGCTGGATCAAGGCGGAAACCCGATCCAGACCTCCAGATCAGATCATGCCCATCTGAAGAGGCCAGATCCAAAGCCGGATCGGATCGCTGCCGACTCGCACAGGCCTGCAAATCAACTTAACTTTTAACTAGTTACTCTCTTTTTAACTTGCCTTTTACTAGTTGAAAGTGAAAATATTTAACTTTTAACTTAAGTTCATTTTAAAGGCTACTAACTTTTAACTTTAACTAGTTACATTTTTCATAAACTTTTCCAATGACTGGCATTTTCCAAAAAAACAGCTGGCCAGAACCAGGAGATGCCCAGATGATTCAACCTGAGAGAGTTCAACGCTGTTGGTTCCACTATGGCAAATGTCATAGTACATGGTGGTGGGAACTGTAGTCACATAAAGGGCCTGAATGGTGACCCCCGAGGTTCTAGCACTGTGCTTTACCAGCTCTTAGTGCTGTTACAGCAGTGATTGGGAACACCTAACGCTGTCAGCCAGTCCTATTGAGCATAGGCGTTCCTTGAGTAAATGCTTGGCCTTCCCTGGTCCATGCTATTAAGGACATCCCCGTGTTCAGCAGTTTGATGGCTGGGTCCTCCTCATTGTGGGCTGCCACCTTCTGCCTTCCTTCACCAACACCTTGTCCCCCTGACTGCTGAATCCTCCTCTCCAGTCTGGCATGATTCTTGACTTGGGAGCTCCCTGGCACTTTCTTTCTCAGAAGTCCATCCCAGCATCAGTTGCCTCATTTTCCTATATTTCTGCTTCTGAGGGTCACCTCTTCCCCCCTCCAATGCCAACCCCATGACAGCATTGCCTTGCCTTTGAGGTCCTTCTCCTAAGTGCTGCCATAGTTTCTGAGCCACTCTGATACCCACAGTGACTAGATCATCTTAAAATAAGTCAGTTAGCCTACCTCTGATGGGATCCTGGTCCCATCCCCTCTCCCCTCTGCTTTGTGCAGAAAGCTGGAGCAGGTCTATGCACCTTGGAAACTATCCCTGCAGGGTCATATTTTTATGAAGCTTCAATTGGCATGAGAAAGTACAAGGCATGACCAAAATATATGCCAAAGATCTGCCTGCCTTGCCACAGGGCTCCTTGTTGCCCCACATGCTTCCGAGATGTGCCAGACTCTTCTTTTAGCTCAATCTGGTTCCACCCGGCATTTGTTGAATCTGGAGGGACTTTCCCACGACCAGCTCACCTCAGCTGCTTGAAGCCTTCAGGCCCTGTATGGAATCCCAGCCTTTCCACACAGCTGCAGGGGAAGAGAAGGAAGGTCCAACATGCTCCAACAGAGAAGCACAGAGGTCCACAGGGACCTACTTCCTTTTCATCTGGCAGTACTCTCTTCTTTCCAAGGGGCTTGTCCAAAGGGCTGGTCAGGAGGACCCATCCATGTTGGCAGAATAAGCCTCCAACTCCAGCATGGGGAACTTCAGAGTGGAATAAGAAACCATGGTCCTTTCTGGAGCCTGAAAAATTTGAGCAGCCTTGGTCAGAGACTGAGGATCTCAGTCTTGGGCATGTGGAGGGCAGAACTAGGGGTGTCCCTCATGTCTGTAATGGCACCTGTGTATATATCCCAGTAGCTTTATTTGCTTCAGGGTGTCTCTACCACGTTTGTAGCTCAATCCTAGTTTTAGGTTAAAATCCTGCCCATTCACTCCTGTTCTATACGTGCCAAAACATGTCATTTGGCTGGTTTTGGTGCATTCCAGAGATTCCCTGAGGATCTCAGTCTTGGGCATGTGGAGGGCAGAACTAGGGGTGTCCCTCATGTCTGTAATGGCACCTGTGAGACATGGTCTTGGGCTTCCCACAGAGGCCATACAGACGTATATCAAGTCACCTGAGTACCCATACAGGGCATAATCAATGCATCATACTGAGCGTTCATATCTTTCTCCATCTTCTGTGTGCAGAATTGCCTGCTTCCCCCTCAACCCCAATTCCTCTCTCAGAACTGACAGTCCACTCCAGTCACTCAAATGAGGACACATCAATGCAGGGAGCTTGGCATACTAGATGAACACTTATAACTAGGCACATTGTTGACCAGTTGTTGTATATGCACAGAATTTGTATGGCATTTGCATGTACTCAGGGGAGACCTACAGCTTTCCACCCTGCCTAGGAAATTTGCCAGCTGTACAAAAACTTTGGATGGGCACAGGGCAAAGCAAAATTGACCCTCCAGGGTGCTGGCTGGAGATCAAAGTATGAACACTGATGCATGTGGTGGGCCAGTAGGGGGAGCTCCTGCGTTGAGCCACCCACCTCACTACACCCGTCCACCTTCCAGACTCCACGCATCTCTCCAGGGGCTCCTAAGCCCTGGCAGACCCGCTTTTGAGCCCCACCACAGAGTCCAGGGGTAACATGTGCTGCTGCCACCCCGAGAAGGGACTGTCTCAGCCCTGTGTCCTCGGGGAAACATAGGCCTAATAGTCCTATGGGTACTCGACCCAATACAAGCACTTCGGGCACTTCCCCAAGTCAGAGGCCAAAAAGGAAAGTCTCTCTTAGTCCGCAGATCTAAGGGGCCTCTTAGGCATAATTTAGACCCACCCCTCAATATGTCTCCTACACCGGTCACAAAGGAGAACTTTATTGATTACAGGTGGTAGGGTAAAAATAAGGTACAAGATAAAACAATATCATAGAAATCCCATAGAGCAAAACAGTCTGGCTGAGGTGGCCTTTTGATCACGCATCTGAGTTACTGCCAGCTATATA